GCGATGATTCCTTCTGCCTGTTACATACTTTTACACAAAAACATTATACCCTGATTTCACATTTTCAATGGGTTCAGGGTATAAAAATATAACTATAAAAAGCTATATGTCAACTGAAAGTATAAAAGACAAAAAAAAAAAAATTAAACAGAAAATACATGATTACATACGTAATACATATAAATATGATATATCAATAAATTCAAAAGTCCAAAAGTTATTGATAATCGTCTACCATATATTTTAAAAATAAGTAAAATAATATAAGTAATATAATATATGTACATACATATATATGCAATGTGATCTAAACATAGTTTAAATTTGTACTCGCCTCATTTTATCTTATTGCAAAATCTTAAATGCATAAGGAAATTGTATAGTATCAGTATCAGTCTGGTCTAGCCTTATTCTCATATCTTAAAATATATTTTGTACGTTTTAAAGACTTGAATTATGTATTAAATCCTTCAACTTATACCACTTATATATATTTTAATATTCTTCTAATTGTATGTCAGACTAACAAGGACCAAGAAAAAATACAGAGTAGATCGTATTCCGTTTCATAGTTTAAATACAAATTGATTAGATAGAATATATACCACATAAATAAAAAAATATTTTTGCTATACACATGCTCGCTGCTTTTACCATATCTTGAGTTAAATTTGCATTCACAGTCAGGAATATATGCTTGACAGGGTATACCATGCCGCCCTCTGTCTTTTACTTTGCAAACTTAACAGTTTTACCATTCCTTAATTAGCTTAAATTCTTATATTAAGATTAATAGTTACTTTCCCAAATATATTCAATCTCATTCTGCTCTCAAATATAATATTTATATCTGAAACAATCTGCAATTCATTTAAAAATCAATTGCAAGCCCTTTTAGGAATATAATTGGGTTATTTACTTTTCAAGCGTGGCCAGTTTGGCCATTTCCTTGTTTTTAATTTCATTTTTATGTTATTTTAAAACTTGTGCAAGACTCTTGAATGTAATAAAAAATAACGAAACATAAATATCATAAACAACTGTGCGCTATACTTAACAAAGCTAGGGCGAGAGCAAACGAAAATAAAGATGGAAAACAATATATAAAATATATATCAGCAATAATTTGAAGCATCAATTTTTTATTGCCGCTGGCAATCATTTAATCATCTCGAGTCATCAGTCGCCCTTGCTCCCCATCCATCTCTCTCTCTCGCTAGCTCTCCCACTCTCGCTCACTCGCTGAGCTATTGGTGTGGGGCATATTTTGCAATATGCGGGATGGGGTAGGCAGAAGTTACTCCCGGCGCAGCCTCAAGTTCGGCTCTGCCATGGCCAACTCTGGCTTTAGCAATGGGCCATCAGCCCATTTGACACATGTGTCACTTGCCAGCGTTTCGGTTTCACTGTATAGCTCCCTCAGTCTCTCCTCCCCTCTCTCGCTCTTGGTTGTAGCCTTCGGTTGACAGCTGTCAGTGTCAGTTTACATAATTTATAGATTTCAGCGCATAAAAAAGTCATAAAATTTACAATGTTGCTTTCAACAAAAACACATTCAGCCTGCCTGACTGTTGCCTAGAGCCTGGTCCTGGCATACCCGATTCTTTTGATGCCTTATTTTTATGAGCGAAGACATCAATTTTCGCACAGCAACAGCAACTACAATCTATATACATATACATTTGTATATATCCACATACAAATACATATATGTATGTATATGGATTGTATATTTATCTGTGTATTTCTCTATTTCTTCAATACTTGTTTGTATTGCCAATGGCATTCGAAATGCTTTTGATTTATTTGTATTTATGTGATTCCTTTCTCATATTCAGCTTCAGCGATAAATCCTCGCACTCAACAAAATACATAAACGATTTATAGTTGAACAAACGGCGCAAAATGCAACAATAGCCAAAAAAGAAAAATACAGAAATACAAAAAATACAACAACAAGAAAAGCAGGACAAGGGGCACAGTAGCTAACGGCCAGCGCCTCAGCTATAGGAACAAGTTTTCCTGCTGTTACCAAATCCCGGCGCAACATAAATCTTTAATGGAATATCTTGGCAGCAGGCGAGAGACCATATGCAGCGAGGGCAGTCCAAGCAGATCTGGAACACCAAAAAAGAAAACAAGCAACAAAGCTTTTAGTCTCTAGCTTTTGTGGCTTATAAAGTGGACACACAGACTCTGATCAAGAACCTTGGGAGGTCTGCTCCAACTCTTTCATCATACCCTAACATTTTATTTCCAATGGGTCTATGGGTATAAAAGAAAGAAAAAGAAACCCGATGCCTGACTTTAACCCACAAATTGCTTGACAATAAATAAATATGAAAAGTTGGTAAAATGTTGATCGGAAAACTTAATAACAACGACAATTTTATTATATAAATTATATATAAAACTAGATGTTTTTCCTAAGATATGCCAATAGTTGAAAAATTTTCTCTTTTAGCTTTCTTAACTGATAATCAATATTTTTTAAAAAGAGAAAGTAAGAGACAGAGAAATTTATTTATAGAGAAAAAATTCTTTTCTCAACTCAAGACTTAATATGTCTTTGATTTTTTATATATCTAAATATAAGTCATATAATCCAAATTTGCTTTCACAATATTCTTTACCCTTCCTTTGATACTCGTCAGCCCGTTATATATAGACCTTGCGAAAACCTCACACTCGTCCATAGTCTATCATCTCATCATATTATCATATTCTTGTTCTCATTTCATATACATTCCTTTATTTACCCCACACTTGTCTTATAATATTTATAATCTTTAAAGTTTTCCACAGAAATGAAACCCAAAATATATTAATAAAAGTTTTAGTGAAAAACACAAGCTGAACAAAGCAGGCGAAGCAACTCTAGTTAGAGATATCAAAATACAATTGCATTTTTGTGAACAATTTTTTTAGCTCCAGTTGTAGACAAGGCAAAAAACAGCAGGAAAAATAAATAGAATAGAAATTGAACTGAAGAAGAGAAGAAAGAGTACAGCTGAACTAATCATAGCAAAAGAAATCCAGAGACCACTTGAGGTAAGAGTCATGAGTGAATCATCGCAAACGGAGGAAAAGCCGCCATATGCATTATTCTTTGGCGGAATGGGCGCTGCCTCGGCCATCATATTCTCGGCGCTGGGCGCCGCCTATGGCACAGCGAAGTCCGGCACTGGCATTGCCGCAATGGCCGTAATGCGGCCGGAGTTAATTATGAAGTCCATCATACCGGTGGTCATGGCTGGCATTATAGCCATCTACGGGCTGGTCATCTCGGTGCTGATTGCCGGCTCGCTGTCGGACGACTACACCATACGCAAGGGCTACATTCATCTGGCCGCTGGACTCTCAGTGGGATTTTCCGGCTTGGCGGCGGGCTTTGCCATTGGCATTGTGGGCGATGCCGGTGTGCGTGGCACAGCGCAGCAGCCACGCCTCTTTGTGGGCATGATACTCATTCTGATCTTTGCCGAGGTCCTGGGCCTGTACGGCATGATTGTGGGCATCTACTTGTATACCAAATAAAAATGGAAATGAAAATGCATTAAAAATATTTGCGGCGGCAGCAACTTAAAGTGTTTTGAGAATTTCATTTGGCTGATGGCAGCGACACAGCAGTTGGCCCCTGATTCCCAGGCGTTGCGAATCTGTGTGGCACCTTGTGACAACTTAACAATCACATCTGCTTGCAGAAGAAGCGTACCCCAAAGTCCCAGTCATAAAAACCCGCAAGCCCCCCGTGGAAACTGAAACGCTTTACTACAAAACATTCAAAATGCAAAACATTCCATGGCACACAAATAAAAATGTCATGAAGCTTCTATATCAGGCCATGGGTATGCAGGGATTGAAGAGTTTGTTGTTGTCGTTGCTACTCACACACACACACACACACACGCATACACAAACACGGACACAGTGAGGCTGCTCCCAGTGCTGCCAGAAACAAATTTCCATTTTGTTTTGTGCGAAGAAAATTGTCGCATTTTAAGCTCACGCCCAGAGCTCCGACCGAAGGAAGAGAAAGCACCGAAGACCCTCCCCTCGACAGGGGTTCATACTATATTCCAATTTGTTTAATTGAAACAAGTGCGGAAAGCAAGCAAATGCTGAAAGCATTCAAAGTATGCACAAAAAAGAACAGCAGGAGCAACAAAAAATGGGAAAAGTGGGAAAAACCGCAGCTTCGATATTCAATAGTCAGAATTTGCTTTTGCGGTTTGTTTACTCGCCGGATAGACTAGCTAGGGTAGACCAAACCGCTAACACGAATTTCGCCATAAATTTTCACATTTTCTCTCTATGCCATGGGTAGCCGGAAAATTTAACGGCACATAAAGATAAACCTCGTTAGCAGCAACAAAACACAGCGAGCGAACGAAAAAAAAAATTGCATATTATATAATAGACATACATTTAACGCTTTGTGTTATCAACCAACTTGGGCATATCAGCACGCGCATAAATATTCGAATTATCATTGCAAAAATTTTGAAAAACCAAATCACAGAAACAGGTTAGCTAGGACAGTCGAATATCGGATACACTTATGTGAATATAAGGAAAGGGATAGTATGATAGTATGATAGTATGATAGTATGATAGTATGATAGTATGATAGTA